TGGCAGAAAGTGAAGAGGACCTTAAGAGCCTCTTGCTCAGGGTAAAAGAGGAGAGCGCAAAAGTGGGCTTGAAACTCAACATCAAAAAAACTAAGATCATGGCATCCAGCCCCATCACTCCTTGGCAAATTTATTTATTTATTTATTTATTTAACATTCGACTTATACCCCGCTCGAACCCCTCCCACGGGGTCTCTGAGCGGCTTACATAGTAGATCATCCCTATCTATGGGCACATATATTGTTAGGGGCGGGACTGCCTACCAGCACCCAGTGGGATTCGGCTTGATGTTTTGTCTCGGCTCTCAGCTTCGGCCTCTCCCATCCGCTTTCTTCAGGCTCCTCAGGTGGTCTTTTGGAGTCGGCAGGCCCATCCGACATGTAGATCGCATTGGCGCGGCTCTGGCTCTGTCCCTCAGGCTCCGCCCTGCCTGCGCCGCTGCGTCCTCGCGCCTCCTGGCTCCGCCTCCGCCGCTGGTCCACCACTCGATGTTACATCTCCTTACTTCATGGAAGTAGTGACAGACTTCACGTTCCTGGGATCCCAGATCACCGCAGACTGTGACTGCAGCCATGAAATTAAAAGACGCCTGCTCCTTGGGAGGAAAGCGATGGCAAACCAAGACAGCTTGATAAAAAGTAGAGACATCACCCTGCCAAGAAAAGTCCGCATGGTCAAAGCGATGGTATTCCCAGTAGTCATGTATGGCTGCGAGAGTTGGACTATAAGGAAGGCCGAGCGCCGAATAATAGATTCTTTTGAACTATGGTGCTGGAGAAGACTCTTGAGAGTCCCTTGGACTGCAAGGAGATCAAATCAATCCTAAAAGAAATCAACCCTGACTGTTCCCTGGAAGGCCAGATAATGAAACTGAAGCTCCAATACTCTGGCCACCCAATGAGAAGGGAGCACTCCCTGGAGAAGAAGACCCTGATGCTGGGAAAGACAGTGTCATCGATGCAACGAACATGAAATTGAGCAAATTTCAGAGGACGGCGGAAGACCGGAAGGCCTGGTGTGATCTGGTCCATGGGGTCATGAAGAGTCGGACTCGACTGTGCGACTGGACAACAACAACAACCTGGAAACTACTTTAAAACCACTTGTCCTCAAAGCCAAACTAGCCATGAGGACTGGGTCCTCACTGCATTTTTAAGTGGTCAAGTTCTTCTCTAAAATGGGCTCAGTGGCCACAGGTCAGCTCTGTTTAGTTGGGCCCTAACGGAGGCCCAGAGAGAATGGGCACCTCCACTCAGGAGAGGTGCTGCTGCCACGCCTGGAAGGAGGCCCACGTGGCCAAAAACCTGAGCTAAGGTTTTAATTTTAACTCTTATGCTTTAATTTGTATTATGTATGTTTTTATCATGTATTTATGTCATTGGAAGCCGCCCTGAGCCTGCTCTGCGGGGAGGGCGGGGTAGAAATCTGACAATAAATAAATAAGGAAAGTGGAAGGGTTGTCTCCATGGGGTGAAGAGAGAAAGGGGGCCCGGGGTCGGGCACAACAAGTGGAAGGCGGAGCTCTTCGAGAGAGAGGCACTGGGAAACTTGCTTGTTTGCCAGGGCTTTTGATGGGCCCTGAACGGCAGCTGTGTGTGTGTGTGGGGGGGGGATATTTGGGATGGGTCAACTTTTTAAAATAAAAAAATAAATTTAACAGGAGAAGCAAAAATAGAATTTGAGAGAGAAAAAAATACCTCCTCTGCCATGGAGGCCCAGAGTAGCAAGTGTGGTGCTGATTTTTAAAAGGGGGTCTGGAGAGGAGTCAGGAAATCGAGGAACAAGCCCTACTGAGGGAAAAGCAGCATGGCTTCTGCAAAGAGAAGGCCAGACCAACAAGCCTTCCTGGAGTTCTTTGAGAAGGTTAACAAGTATGTGGAGAAGGGTGATCCAGGGGACAACTCAGAGCTTTCCTGGGTCAGGCAAATTGTTAAGACCCCTTAGCTGTGCTAAGCTATGTTCCCTGCAGAGTGCAGGGGGTTGGACTAGATGACCTGCAAGGTCCCTTCCAACTCTAACATTCTATGATTCTTTCAGTCTGGGTTTCAGCCTGGTCATGGAGAAGCGGAGGGTGACTGCAGATTCTCCTGGACCTCTCCGCAGCTCTGGACTCCCAGTCTCAGAAGATCAAAGTGCCACTGGTGGGTGGGAAGGGCTGACCCGGGATTTCAGATGCCAACTGTTCTGGGTACGGTTGCACTCCCCTTGGAGGAACAAGTCCGTTGTCTGGGGGTGCTCTTGGACCCAGGCCTCCCACCGGATAAGCAGGAGGCAGCTGCAGCCAGGAAAGCCCTTTACCAGCTTTGACGGTGTCTGATGCAGGCTTTAGGTTCTCTGCTAGAATACCCAGCTTCAGGCTCTACACTCCAGTTCGGCAAATCAGACAAAAGTACTTTTATTATCAGAAAACAGAAAAGGCAACCTCAATTAACAATAATTCAAGGAACAAAGAAAAATTCAACATTCTTCAGTGATTGCCAAAATACAAATAGTAATTAAAATCAGCTGAGACTTACAGTAGCTTCAAAAGGTAGGAATAATCCTGCCCAAAAGTCACGCGCTTCCCCCACACGCACACCTTTTGGCTTTTATCTTCGGACGCTGCCCCTCCCAGCTGTTAAGATATCTCAGTTGTGCAGCTCTTGCAAAGCTGAGAACTGGGCAGTTCCTGTAATTACTTGCAAGGTCGATCCTCCCCTTCCTGCCTTCCTTCAGTTCTACAATGTCGCTGTTTTACACACAAGTCGGTCTCTTCCTTACAGACGGGTTAGCCAGCTTTTCTGGGGGCAGCAAAGATCTGGCCACTGTGGTGCATGCCCTAGTTCCACCCTCAGGTTAGATTACTGCAATGTGTTCTATGTGGGGCTGCCCTTGGTAAGTGTCAGCAAGCTGCCAATGTTTTCTTTTCTTTCTGTATATGTGTGTGCACTTGCCTCTTTCACTGTAGAATCGTAGGTGCGCATGTCTATGTAGCTCCCCGAAACAATTATCTCGCTCAAGGCCACAAGTGGATGCAAGAGCTTGTTAGTGTAGAGAAGTTCTCACTAAACACCGTGAGAAGAAGATAACATGAGAGGCTTGGGACCGTTAGTTCTCAGGCCAAAGGTGCACGCGGGAACCCCGCAATTGACCCGTAGTAGTTGGAATGTTTATTATATGCTTTGCCATTGCTTGTACCCCTCATTCTGAACAGTGATCCTGTTATGCACCTTCAGCTCAAATAAAGTTACCTTTTCTTCAAAAGCGTGCTTATTACGATGCAAGGAGGAGTCTGACAGTCAGGCAGGTTCATAAGTGATGAGGCGTTCCTTCAGCCAATCATGTAGGTCTTTCAAGGTCAAGACAAGCACCTTGAATCGTGTCCAGAAACAAACTGGGAGCCAGTGTAGGTGGGCCAGGACTGGAACGATATGGTGGTCTCTACAATCCAGTCAATAGCCTGGCTCCAGCGTTCTGCACCAGTTGAACTTGTGGATCTCCTGACAAAAATACGCAATCTATCACTAAAATCTGCCTCCATTCCCAAGGACTGGAAGACAGCCAATGCAACCCCCATCTTTAAAAAAAAAGTTCCAGAGGAGATCCGGGAAACTACAGGCTGGTCAGTCTAACACTGATACTGGCTAAGTTGGTGGAATCCATTATTAAAGACAGCGTTAGTAGGCACACTGATTGACAAAAGCTAATGAAGAAGAATCAGCATGGGTTCTGTAAGGGAAGAGCTTGTCTCATTAACCTTTTGGAGCTCTTTGAGGGGGTGAACAGACACGTGGACAAGGGGGACCCGACAGATACCGAGCAAAGTCTGAGTCCAGCGGCAGCTTTAAGACCAACACAGTTTCATTCAAGGGGTGAGCTTCCGTGGGCACGCCCACTTCTTCAGTCGATGTTGTCTACCTAGACTTCCAGAAAGCTTTTGATAAAGTTGCTCATCAAGGGCTCCTAAGTAAGCTCAGCAGTCCTGGGATAAGAGGACGAGTCCTCTTGCGGATTCAAAGCTGGTTAATGAGGAGTCTAAATGGGCAGTTTTCACAACAGAAGGTGGGGTACCGCAGGGCTCAGTAGTACTGGGTCCGGTGCTTTTTAACTTGTTCATTAATGATTGGGAGTTGGGAGTAAGCAGTGAAGTGGCTAAGTCTGCGGATGGCCCTGAACTGTTCATGGCGGCGAGAACCAGGGAGGACAGCGAGGTGCTCCAGAGGGAGCTGTTGAGGCTGGGCGAGTGGGCATCATCGGGGCAAATGAGGGGCGGCATGAGCAAGTGAGAGGTAACACACATTGGAGCCAAAAATCCTGACTATAAATATACGCTGATGGGGTCCGAACTGGCGATAATCAACCAGAAGAGAGACCTCAGAATCATGGTAGATAACTCACTGAAGATGTCAACTTTAGTGTGCAACTGTAATAACAAAAGGCGAAGGTTCAAGGTGATGGCACTTACCTTCAAAGCCCTATGTAACAAAATGGCTGCCAGGCAGAGGCAGCAGGTTACTTTAAAATGGCTGCCAGTCGGGTAGTCCTCTGGAGGGGGAAGGTGCTCCATAGGGAACAACGGAACTGCCATACCTCCCGGCCTACATTTCCCAGCAGCCTTGAGGGGAAAAGAGCTGGAAAGGAGGGACCCAGCCCAGGGGCAGACCCAGCCAGATACAAGGGCTTTGACCCCTCAGGGGAGTTTTTTAGTCTCAGCCTAGTCTTGGCCTTTGGCTCCGCCTGGACGGCAGCTTCAAGGGAGCGCAGAGGTGGGACTCCTGCCACTCCACACTCCGTGGGCAATCCAGGCCCCTATAAACCCTGGTGGCGCACCAAGGAGAGTAGCAGTCCTGGTGACCCGTCCTGAGGAGGAGGAGGGCTGGAGTTTCCCTCCACAACAACGAGGAAGGGAAAAGCAAATCCCATCCCGAGGCCCACCACCTCCAGAGGTAGAGAGGGGTGTGTGAGTAGGGGACAGAGGAATTGCGGTTTACTCATGTTTATTTCCTGTGCCCGGTTAATTTTGGTGCCTAACTTGTATGTAGTTCAAATAAACCTTGAGTTATAAGACCTGGAAGTGCCTGGACCCCTTAGTCCTCCCCGCTCAGCACGTTACCAGAGGCAAGGGCAGGCCGGGGAACCCAAACGGCCCCCAATCGGAGGGGCTGCCAACTCTACTTTCCTGGGTTGGGGAATCAGCCAGAGGGGTCTCACTGTCCCTCTAGGAAGGCGGTCTGGATCCAGTGAGTGGTGGCAGCGAATGAGGAAGGGAAACAGCCCCACCAGGTAGAGCAGGGCAGGCAGGCGAAAACAGGGGCTATTCAGCAAAAAACAGCAAACGGCTATTCAGTCCCTCAGGGCTGAGGGCGGGTCCCCGTTTCATCACACCCTATATGGCCAGGGG